AAACAAATGTTAAATATTGTTTTTACATGTAATTGGGAACAAAAAAACATTATCTAAAAAACCTTGAGTCAATATGTAGCTCATAGATCCTTTTGAAGACATTAGAGGCCTGGCATTTCTTTTTGAGTCTGACACCATTGAGCTAGACTGTTCCTTGGATAACAGACACATAGTTAGCTAGTGGGCCCAAACTCAAAGACTTTCTGACTTAAGACCTGCCAGAGCTTTATTGTTGTTCATCCTTTGTTCTCATAGAGGAGCAATGACATCAGAAGTGAGATGCTTTGACTTGCGAAGGAACTGGATTTAAGTGAGGTAGAGCTGTACAAAGCCATCAGCCTCACTCCTGCCAGTGCTTTAGCTCAGGTAACATAGCTACTAACACTCTAAGTCACTTCCATGCTGTTCTAAGTACTACTGACAGCAAAGTGCTTGGATTATTTGGCTTATTAATGAAATAAGGCTATCAGATTTGTTATTATTTTGATAGCTATCATAGACTATCTCTCATTTCCCATTTCTAAAATGAGAAGCATGTTCTAAGATGACCTCCAAGGTCCTTTCAGCTCTAACATTATATGAGTCAATGGAACCAAAATCTATTTTTCTCTTCTTTTCTCTTTCTCTTCTTCCACAACTCTCCCCTCCCCTTCTCTTCATTTGTCAGAGCAGTTTGTGTTCAGACATTTCCCCAAAGACTAATGTATTTGTTATCATTTGTCCTGAATTCAAGTGTCTTTTTATTTTCCAGTAACATCTCATGCTGGTCCAGCTGCTGCCTCATCAATTATCAAGTGAGCAAAAGAGAGATGTGCTCTAAGGAGTGGTGTGCACAGTCTCGCAGGAAAAAGCTTTCTGTGGAAGCCCCAAATTCACAGCAATTAGATTGAAATGACACATGGAGACATCAACAATTATCTAGAGGAAAATTTAAATACATTTTAATCCAGAAGCTAGAGTGAGAAAACCACATCATCTTCACTAAGTGATGTCGCCGTACTAACCACTGATGTTATCAACGTTGCTTGAAACTAAAGGCATGCATTTTGAACCCCAAATTTCATGCATTTCTAAGAATTTTTTTTATTTTAAAATTGCTGTTTATTTGATGACATTTTGTCCTAGTGTATTAAAACTGCCATACCCTCCTCTCTCTTTATATTCCTTTTCTTTCCACCCTTTATATGTTGTTTATGAAGCTAATGATATTATTTCAGCTGCATTACAGATTAATTAAGATTTTATGGAAATATTATACCAAATTGCTTGATACAGATATGTAGAAATGTATATGTAATCTAAGTAGAACAGAGCATGTGCAGATATATTCCTGCTTGCTTCTAGCTGACCACATGAGAGACTCAGCATTTGGGATAATGAACTCCATAGTTGGCTAGTCCCTGTGGTGAGCTAGCAGTAAAAGCCCTTGGCATTTTGATTTCTTGTTATTGAATTGTTTTTCAGTTTTGTCTGACTCTTCATGACTCTGTTTGCGGTCTCTTGGCAAAGACACTGGAGCAGTTTGCCATTTCCTTCTCCAACTCATTTTACAGATGAGGAAACTGAGGCAAACAGGATTAAGTGACTTACCCGAAGTCACATTGCTAGTAAGTGTCTGAGACCAGATTTGAAGTCAGGAAAATGACTCTTCCTGACTTCCAGGCCCATCAATCTATCCACTACACCACCTAGCTGGCATTTTGATATGACACAACAAATACTGAGTGGTCCCTTGGTTTTCACTTTATATGGCAGCTGTAGTAAAGTAGAATATTGTATTGATTAAAAGAAGAAATAATTTCTGGTGAGGTCTCTTGCTTTAACTCTATGACAAGAAGTAAGCTCTAGATTCCTTCCCCCGGTCCCAGATAGGACATGAACTCAACTAGATGTGCTTGTGTCTTGGGCTCCTGGATGGCTTTTCTACTTTGGGTTTCCTTTCCTGAGCAGGTGACCAAACATCGTGAGGTGGAGATGCCTGGAAGTCCTAGGTCCAGCGAGTAGAAGCAGGGGAATTGAAAGAGCCAATGAGGGAATTGGCTCAAGACTGGCTATTTTACCAGCAGATATACACCAGGGGTTGTATGAGCAGTGCAGAACTGAGGTGAAATTTAAAATTCCCAGTCAGTAAGCTCACAAACTGAGGATTAAGTATCAGCTTCTCAAAAGAGTATAATTGTAGTTGTTATTTTGTCTTTCTGTCAACGATCGCCATGAGTCTTTTGTGTCTTTTAGCACGTCTTTTGTATGTAGGAATTAAATATCTGATTTACATAAGACACTGAGTACCTTTCTACCCTTCCCTTTTGGGAAATTGTAGACAGGAGCTTTAACCTAAGTTTATTATAACTTGACCCTGGGGCTGAAGAAGAACATGGTTTAATGAACTGAAGTGTAAAAGAAAAAAGGATATCCCTTCCCTTATAAGAGGCCAGGTTCTCCCAGGACTAACACTTATCTAACCACATGCCTCAGTCCAGAAAAGATTCTTTCTTAAGGAAAGAGGATGGCACAGTGCCCCAGGCCCTCAGCTCAGCAGTATTTCCTCAAGTTTAGATACTGAAAGTCCAAGTTCACTCATAGCTTACTTCTCCACGATGTCACTCCTGTATTATCTTGGGTCCTCCTCTTGCCCTCTGGCTACTACCCTAGATACAGCTACATCAGCCCAGTATGATGTAATGTTTGCAGTCTGTGTCACATGGACTTTACTAAAACAGTATAAGTCCATAGACTTACACAGGCATACCGTGGAGATACTGCAGGTTCAATTCCAGACCACTGCAATAAAGTGTTAAAATAAAGTGAGTCACATGAATTTTTTGGTTTCCCAGTACACATAAAAGTTTGTTTACACTATACTGTAGTCTATTAAGTGTACAATAGCATTGTTTTAAAAAAAAACCAATGTGCATACCTTAATTAAAAACACTTTATTGCTAAAATGCTAACCATCATCCGAGCCTTCAGTAAGTCGTATTTTTTGAAGGCGGAGGGTCTTTGCCTCCATGTTGATGGCTGCTGACTGATCAGGGTGGTGGTTAACAAAGGTTGGGGTGGCTGTGGCAATTTCTTAAAATAAGACAATGAAGTCTGCCCCATCTTCCTTGCACTTGAATACCTAGAGGCCATTCTAGGATTACTGATTGGCCTAATTTCAATATTGTTGTGTCTCATGGAATAGGGAGGCCAGAGCATATGGAAAGAGATGAGAACCACCCGATTGGTGGAGCAAACCGAACACATACAACACTTATCCATTAAGTTCACCATCTTATGGGCTTGGTTTGTGCCATCCCAAAGCAAATACAATAGTAACATCAAAGATCACTGATCACAGATCACCGTAACAGATATAACAATGAAAAAGTCTGAAATATTGTGGGAATTACCAAAATGTGACACAGAGACACAATGTAAGCACATACTATTAGAAAAATGGTGCTGATAGACTTGCTTGATCCAGGGTTGCCACAAACCTTCAATGTGTAAAAAACCACAATATCTGCAAAGCACAATAAAGCAAAGCACGATAAAATGAGTTATGCACGTGTTCCTTTTTTTTTTCATTCTAAACTATTTTGCTTCCCAACTGTACAAGAACCAGGTAATGAAGTTCCCTTGATTGAATTCAAACTATGAGGGGAAGGCTCCTTCTGTATGACCTCCCAGGGTTGTGCTGCTGCCATCAGGCCAAGGTGAAAGTGGGCATTGGCACTGTAGTAATTGATGTAGATCCTGTCACTCAAAGACATTTAGATGCTTGGTCGGCAGCACTGCTGAGATGTTCGCTATAGGTCTTATTCTGGAGTACCAACCTGGCCATGTTGTGCAGGCTATAGAGTGTACCCAGGCCAGCTTTCCCTTGGTTTCCCACATGGCTGTGCTTCTTTGAACTTTCCATCATGCCTCAAACCAGGTACCTGCCTGCTTACTCCTCATCCCCTGCTTTTCTGTTTGCTTTTGTTTGCTGTCCTCACCGTTTAGACTGTTGTGATGTTCTCTGCCTTTTTCAGACTCTATTTGGTGTTCATTTTTAGTTCTGAGGGTAACATTTTAGGAAAGACAGTGATAAATTGGAGCATATCTAGAAAATGCTGACTAGGATGGTAAGGGAACTAGAAACCATGCTGTACAAGGACTGGTTAAAGGAACTAGGGATATATGGCCTGAAGATGACAAGACTTAACAGGAATATAAGTTCGTTGTTGTTGTTTAGTAATTTCAATTGTTTCTGACTTTTTGTGACCCATTTGGGGTCTTCTTGCCATTTAATTCTCCAGTTCATTTTACAGATGAGGAACTGAGACAATTGGGATTAAGTGACTTGTCCAGGGTCACATAGCTAGTAAGTGTCTGAGGGCAGATTTGAAATCAAGTCTTCTTGACTCCAGGCCTGGCACTCAATCCACTGCATCACTGAGAACTTCAAATACAAGGAAGACTGAGAGAAAAGGGCAGAAGTTACAGAGTAGCATAATGATGATGTAAAGAAAAAGTTCCTACCAATTGGAGGAGTTCAAAAGCTGAATAAGCCAGGGTTTCGTGAGTTCTACATCACTGGAGGCCTTAAAGCAGAGACTGAATGACTACTTCTTGGGGATAATGTAAGATGGATTCACGTTCAGGGATAGGTGACCTTCTAGTTACCTTTGAGGTCAGTTATTCAGCCAATAAACATTTATTAAGTGCTTACTAACAGTGTTAAGTGATGTTTTTTTCCAACACCAAGGTTTTATGATTCTGTGAAATATTGCACATGATATTTTATATGTAAATACATGTTCTAATGTATGAGGGTCCTTTGTCTTAAGTATGTTTCCATTTAATCTTCATTATCTTTTTTACAATATCACTTTTAAGAAGATGATACTATATATATATATATATATATATATGTACACACATATATATACATATACATATAATGGTCATTTCAAAAAATCTACACACAATAATACTGAATAATTGCAGTAAAAATACATCGGTACCTGACTCACCACTAGATGGGAGTAGTTTTCAGGTGGATCAGAAGCAGAGGGAAAGCACTGGAGCCAGAGCTCAGGACACTCAGAATGCAGCATTGGCCTGTGCCAAGAATATAAATACACAGTCATAGCATTTAGAACTCAATGGAAGGGGCAAAGAGATCTTCTAGTCCAATGCACTTCTTTCACAAATGAGAAAACCAAGATCCAAAGAGGCAGCGTGACTTGCTTGTGGTGACACAAATAGCACATCCCAGATACTGATAATGCCAAACTGAGTGTGATCAGGAACAGATGTCAAGAAGGACAAAGGTTGGTCAACTTAAGGATTAAAAGAGACAATAAGGGGTAAAGACAAGATAAAATAAAGCATCAGACATAAATCAAAGTGGGATTCCGAAGGATGCTGAAGCACAGACAGCTAACAGAAGGGGATCTACGTTAAAACATCCATCCAGCAATGAAAAAGCCCCCATGCCAGGGCTGAACTATTTGGCCAATAGCTTTGCCAGTTTCAGACATATGGTTTTAGTTTACTCCTCTTGGAGTTTCCTTAGAACTTTGCTTTGTTCCTCCCTGATGAGCTTATTGTGAGCTTTTCATCATGGTCACAAAGCTACCTATGTTACTAGATCCGTGAGGACAGGGATATCTTGTATCCAAACTGTATAGAATAGACTAGAATAGAATCCATTCGATTACATTTCTCTACCCCAGCCTAGTACAACACTTCACATAGTCTAAGTGTTTAATAAATGTTGATTTGATTTTATCTCTGTTGCACATCGCTACTCTCTCCCCATCTGACTTATTTGTAGTATACACATCGGGTTGACTAGCCTACCATTGGACTACTCGTTGATTGGACTACCATTGGACTGTCAATCTATTGCTAGAGTCCTACCAGTACTCTTTCTGGCATCTGACTCATTCTTTTCTTCATGATGTCTGCAACTATAGAACCCAGATCCTCACTCTGCTAGGAACAGCTTGGAACCCACCCTACATGAGACCGGGGAGACTCTGTAAATCCGAGGGTTCCAGGAAAATTGACAACAGGGGCTTTCCAGTAAACCACTTCCTTGTAATGGTGATTCGGCATTCTTAGACTTCTTAAAGGGGTCAGCTCAACAGAAATCTGAACTGGACACTGACGCTTATATACCCCACAACCTTATAATAGTATTCTTTCTCCATTTCCTATTAGTTCTTCTCACGTCCTTTATGCTTTCAATTAGTCATAATGGTGCTGTTGCAATATGTTTATTTAGAGTGATTGGATTTAGAAATACATTCAGCTAAGTCTGAAACTCTGTTTAAAGCATGTGGCTCAATCACATGCTATCAATCTAAAGACAGCTCTTTCTCATCATTTCTAGAACTCAAAAATGAATGGGTCAGTTAGGAACAGTTACTACTAGCTAAGAGATGGGCTGACAAGATTTCATCCATGCATTCATTTATTCATCCAGTCATTCAACAAGCATTTATTATGTACCTACTATGCCAGGCACCGAACTTGGTACTAGATAAAAATGAAAAATCCCTACTCTCAAGGAATTTATATTCTATTGAAGGGAAACAAGCATAGACACAGAAAACTCGAGTACAAAGTAAATGCAAAGTAATTTTGGGGGGTGGAGAAGGGCACCAGCACCTGAAGGAATCAGGAAGGACAGCAAATTGGAGATGGCACTTAGGCTGAGCCTTTAAGGAAGCTTAGGATTCTATGGCAGAGGTGAAGATGGACTATATTCCAAGAAATTGGGGTGGAGGAGGGGAAAGTCTATGCAAAGGCACAGAGAATGGAAATACAAAGTCATGCACAAGGATTAGCATGTAGGCCAGTCTGGCTGGAATATAGACTGTATGTGGAAGAGTAATGTATAATAAGTCTGGAAAGGTGAACTGGCCATATTATGAAGGGCTTTAAATGACCCCAGAGGAGTTTGTTTTTGATCCTAGAGACAAGAGGAAGCCACTGGACTATTTCAACAGGAGAATGACAAAGACCTTTAGGAATACTAATTTTTGTAGATGTGAAAAGGATGGCCAAGGGAAGAGACTGAAAACACAAAGACCAAGGAGGAGGCTATTGTAATAGTCCAAGTAAATGGTGATGAGGGTCTGAAGTAGTAGCAAAGCTATGTGAGAAAGAAAAGGAGAGAGATGCTAGATGTATTGAGGAGGTGGAATTGACAAGAATTGTCAGCTAATGGGGGGGCAAAGGAGATGGAAAAAGTAAGAAATTAAGGATGACTTTGAGTTCATAAACCTAATTTGCAAATAGAAGGATAATGGTGCATTCAGAAGTGTGCAACTTAGGAAGAGAAAAAGATTTGGGGGGGAAACAATGAGTTCAGTTTTGGACTCGTTGAGTTTAAGAGACCTATAGGATATCTAGTTGGAAATGTTTATCAGGGAGTTGGTGGTATGGAAGTCGAGTTCAGAAGACACTAAGGCTGGATATAAATGTGGGAATCTTCTTCATAGAAAGGGAGTTGAAACCATGGGAGCTAATGATCACCACGAGATGGTCCAGGACAGAGACTTGGGTGACATCCACATAGAGAAAACAAAACATGGATAATGGTCTAACAAAGGAGACTGAGTGAGAATAGCCAGACAAGCCATAAGAAAACCAAGAGGGAGCACTGTAATTCCAGAATGGAAAAGTGTCTAGGAATAGGGGGCAGTCAACAGTGTCAAATTTTATAGAGAGGTCAAGGTGGATGAGGACTAAGAAAAAAAAACATCAGATTTGGTAATTTAATTAATTAATGATTAGCTACCGATTGATTAATTGGTAACTTTAGAATGAGAAGTTTCAGTTGAGTAACGAAGTTCAAAGTCAAATTGAAAGAAGTGGAGAAGCAAAGACAAGAAGTATAAACAACTCTTCCTAATTTGATTGTGGAGAGAAAGAGAGATTATAGGGTGATAGCTTGAGGGAATGTCAGGGCCAAGTGTTGTGTTTTTTTTTTTAAAGAATAGAGGAGACTTAAACATATTTATAAATAACTGGAAGAGAGGCAACCAATAAGGAGAGAATGAAAATTAGAGAGAGAGGATAATTGTAGGGGCGAGATGCTGAAAGATATAGGAGGTAATATAATCAAGAGAAGAAACTGGCCTTGGCAAACAGAAGGGCCATCTCTTTCCCAGACACTATCTTAAAGGAGTAGGGAATGGGGGATTTATGAATGAAGAATCTTTCCAGAGAGCTATTACTGGATAGCATAAGGGGAACCTATCATTAATTGGGACTTTAGTTGCTGTTTTTTAAACCATATTTAAGTCAACCTTGATGGCTGATTTTTGTGCTTTGGAAAACCTATGAAATTCCAATTATGAATTTATATACATATGTATATCTGTGTGTGTATGTTTAAAAGTAATGATTTTGAAAGTTAGTCCTTTAAACAGAGATAACAAAGATTATAAGGCTGGTTTCCAGTGATCCCACCATGTGGCTGATAGCCCTAAAAGTATTCATTTGACCAGAGTTAAGCTAAAATGTGGTGTTTAGCAAAGCTAACTATACCTGTAGGGAGATTAAGTAGCTACTTATGTGATATAATTTGAGAAATACTGGAAAGATCTCTATCTTTAAAAGTCTCCTTTATTGAACTTTATTGATAGGTGCATTGAATTCAACTTGGAGATGTCACTATCTAGCAAGGTTTTGGAAGTTCAGGGTTTACTGAAAGTAAGGGAGGCTCACTCTTCTGACTCCCCTCTCCCATCAGGTAAGTGGGCCAACCAACTACTTTCTAGATCATACTTCTCTCCTCCACTAGGAAGTCCCATAGGTGTGACCTTTCCTATGTCCACAACTCTACCCAGAACCTCATACAGAGACCAGAGGCTGCCTGAGGTTCCTGCACTATCAGCTACATGTAAACTTGGCCCCAATTCATGTAGAACACATATCTCTGCTCTTTAGGAACTTGTTAAGATTGTCAATATGAATCAAAACTGCAAAAGTCTCTCATAATTACAGCTCAGATCCTGAATAAAACCTTGGGTATTTTGGATGAAGGTGCAGAATTCTGCTCTGTTGAAACTCTGTGCATTCCTTGCTGGTAACTGGTATCCTCCATTGCACTACTCATTATTTGCAATTAACATACAGACACACATCACAAAGCAGTAATCATCAAACATAGGTTTGTATATAAAATTGGCTTAAAGAAATAGAGAAAATCATGTAGAAAGCACCTGATAGTGAGTTACTGGGAAAGCAATTAACCTTTACTCTCCTTATGTTGATCCCAAAGGAGATGCCAATGACAGAATTATCATTCCATCCTCACTACCCCTGCAGAATTGTTCCCTCATGAACAGAAGATTGACCACTGAAGTCAAACCTGCAACATCTAGCAACTAGTCTCTGTCTCTCTCTTCAATTGCTGTTGCTATCACTGCTCTCCTCTGCTCGAGTCTCATGCTTTCTAGCAGGCATAGATATAGCCAGCAAGTGCTGCCACCACCAGTGCTACCCTGGCAATCCTCTTTTCCAAACTAAAAATTGAATTTGTGTCTAGGTACTTCATCTAGCAGTCATTATCTCAAGAGTCATAGAATTCACTCTTAGAATAGTTCTCCCAAGGCAGGGAGAAAACAATGCTATCTATCCACGATTACAATTTCCAGGTTTGAGAACTTTTTAATCTCTTTCAGGGCAGGGAGAAAGGCAACCTATCCCTTTAAGAAACAATCCCCTTTCCACTTGTTCATGGAACAAATTGAAGGAGTTCAATCTATCCCACAGTCATGTACCTCTCTCCTTGGCAAGGAACAGTACCTAGGTAGTATCTGGGGTTACACATATAAAGCATAATGCTAGATGCTAGGGATATTGAGACAAAAATGAGCTAGTCCCTGCCCCAAACCAACTGCATTCCTTTGGGACTAAGACATTTCTCCCTACTAAAATAAAACTATGGAGGCAATAAGACATAGTTGATAAAGTTCTACAATTGGAATGAGGAATGCCTGGATTCAAATTACTTTTGGCACTGACTATATGTGGTATATATATAATATATATATATATATATATATATATATATATATATGTGTGTGTGTGTGTGTGTG